CACTTGAAGACCATCGGCATTGACAGAATCACCATCAGTCAATTGCAAAAGGCAGCTTTACTTGGAACACCTTATATCCTTTAACACCATCAAACAACAATATCTGCTTATCCCAGGTCCTTGGGAAGGACTTGATAGGTGGATAAAAATGCCACTAAACATCTGGCTGACTGTACAGCCAACTATCATCATCATCATAAAAATTATATGCTGCCTGACTCCCAGTGACTCTGGGCTGTTTAATAATAATAATAATTTTAAAAATGGAATAGTGGCTGGAAGCATTTATTTATGTGCAACATTTACATATGTTCCTTTAGAAAATTTCTTAGAAAATTTACACATTAAAGCTACAAATAAACATCTAATCAATACACAATGCAAAATTAATGCTATGAAATGAAAAATAATAAGAAACTACCTACTAATATCCACATAGTTTGGAACAGGGGAAAGAGAAATTAATTTAGCATATTGGCAAAATAAAAATGTAAGAAATCCTCATGAAGAAGCATTTGCTCTCTAACACCCATGACCATGATGACAGATCCACACTGGTAGAGAAGAATGGCTACATCACATCAAAATAGCAAAACATACTGTAACTAGTTCATAAAGCAATCTAACTTTAATTCTAAAAGCAGACTGAGAATGACCTGATGCAGCAAAAGTGTTTTGGGCATATGACTGGGATTGCTGGGATACCAAATGTCCATTAAATTAGTTTACATAATAAGCAGTAATTTGTAAAGTATACTGGATTTGAGCCATTGCAAAGTAAGAGCTGCTTTTATTTAAAACAAAGCAAATTATGCACATATATAATAATTCAGCTGGATATTAAGCATGGATGGCATGTTATTCTCCTTGGGTCCACTTGATTCCATCTAGATGATTTTCTCCAGGAGGTTTCTCAGGTGCACATTTCCATAGATACCAGAGCCCTACAAATAGGAAATGAAACACAATAACCAGGCCTAAAAAGATGAGGCAGAAGAGCCTGTCCAAAGTGCCAGAAATATGTTTGAATTGTGATGATTCTTCATCTGTTCCACAGTCTGTTGGCCAAAAGAGAAAAAGATACCAGGTGAATTTGCAGCTTGCCAATTCAAAACCAAAGAAGCAGAATTTGAGATCCAGCCAAAAGTTTTGTGAAGTATTGCTGAATAATCTTGAGGGAATATACAACTGCTACTTGATGAGCAGAATTAAAATACATTTCATATATATTTAATTATATGTCAATTCTAATATTTAGATCCAAAAGCTTAGACATTTGGGCCTGACTTCAGCAACAAAGATCAAAATTCAGGAAATGAGTTTCCTTTGCAAAATTCTCAGTGTAGGAGTTATCCACTTGGTGAGATGTTTTTTTCTCTGTAGTTTCATGTTAGGGGGACTCTCCTACTAATTTGAAGCTGAAGGCTTTAAAATCAGAACAAGGAGTATATTGGCTGGGTACAAGCTGCTATAGTCACCATCTCTTACTTTTACTGACACACTGCCTTGTATCTTCATAGCCAAATCTGGAGAAAAGGAATGGACCATCTAACCCTGTTGCTGCTCTGTTATTCCAGCCACAGCCTTGTGGCTTAATTTTAAAGCACAAAGCATTAAAACAACTGTTTCTTAGCTTAAATAATTAAAATAGCAGCACTACTTTCAGCATAAAAAAACTGGTAACTTTCAGGTTTTAAAAAGTCTTTAGATGGTAGACCAATTTCCTATCGGTTTTCACAACCCCCAAGATTTGTGTCATTAGACTGAAGGAAAGCTTCCTTATCACCTTATTTCTGAAATGTTAGTTTTATTTCTACATATCCTATTTACTTGCCTTTTGTCTTAGGATCCTTTGCATCTTCTGATTGATAACTTTGGTCATTTGATACTGTAGAAGTTGCCTTCTTTTTTGTTTTAAATCCATAATTCAGACCAAGGTTTGCATTATCAGTTACCAGCTTCAGCACCAAGATAGTTTCAATAGTGCTGAGGAATAGTAATATCAGAAGGCCAGTGTAGTAATAACCTAAGACGTTATTGGAAGAAGGAAGAAGTTAAATGCATTATTGATGGGACCTCTCAGTCTTTGCTTTATGTTACTGTTGGAAAACTGTGCGCTGAAATTAGGGTTAGTAGCAATATATAAATTTGGATTAGGATGAATATAGGGTTAGGGTAAGGCTTCCTTGAGATCTATACTACAGTTCAGTGTGAGAGTGAGCAGTGTGAGTTGTTATCACTAATGATAGTCTTATCTTTAGATGAATATATTCTCTGGATGTCATTTTAATCTATTAGATAAGGTGGACAAAACTCTTCATTTGACATACTGAGGTGGATGGTTTTGACTTGCAGCTTGTCATTTTTTGGCTTATACAACTTACTGAGCAGAGGATTGCAGGAAGATGATCCTGGTAGGGAATCAATGAAAGAGGAGTAGAAGACTAGATATGCCAGAAGCAAAGTGACCATGTATGACAATCTGTCTTGGAGAGGGATAAAGAAGCCACAGAGATCCGCTACCACAACTGCAATGCTTGGCACTACCAAGGAAAGGATGGCTCGTATTCCTGTGTTTTTTAGATTTATCTGAAAAAGAAGCCAGACTTCATGGTAAAAGGAAAGAATAATTCAGGCTGCGCAGGTTCCACCGAAAGTTCACTTGCTGGGCATTGATAAAGTACTGTACAGTGCTAAGGCATAATGTGGTTTGTTTGCTTTGGTTAAACACAGTGTGTGAACCCAGCCACTGTGGTTTCTCCAAATTGATTATCGTTTTGTATGAAATGAACTCACCCAACTATAGTGCTCTTGATTTTGTGGAGGGCAGAGGGAGGGAGGGAGGGATAGCCCCAAGAAATATTCCCTTTGTTAATATCCATTTCAAAGGCATAGGTTAGAGCATCATCACTCCAATCAGCTAGAAGAATAGCCCTGACTGAGGTGCCACTAAGGTACTTTTTAAAAATTATAATGCAAGTGATATTCTTACCATGACCACAAAATAAGGCTGTGGCATATTCCTTTGGCTTGTAATGTTCGCACTTGCGACGAGATATTCACGCTTTAAATTCAGAATTTCATTTCTGATTGAGACCTTGAATTCCATATCACTGACTTGAAATAAAAATTTAAAATAATACCAAAAAATCACAATCATATTCTAAGAGTTTAAAATAAAAAAATAAATTTCTGGCTACCAACAATTAAGCTAATTGCTTTCCAGTGGAAGAAACACCTGAAGCTAGGCTATTGAAGGTTAGAGACACTGAGATCTCCCATGACATAATGATCTAAATTAAAACTGAAATGGAGTTATGTGACAGTAATACTTGAGGCTAACTCCTCATATGGTACTTTTCTTTATCTTAATAATTTTGGTAATTTCACATGAGAACTCTCCAAGTAAAAATCTGGCATAGTCTCTTTGAGAGTATTAAGTCAAATTAAATGTATGGCTCAACCATATTAGAAGCCATCTGGGAAAAGAAATGCCATAGGCTGAGAAAAGGGCCAAGTAATAACAGAGGTTAGAATAAGTGTTCATCCCCCAATAGTAGCAAAGTTGCTGCTACTAGAGTACTTAGACTTGGAATTACTACAGCTTAGCAGCCAATTTCTGTAGGAACCTCTTCCCTAAAAGTCCTCTCTAATGCCTTTTTTTTTTTTTTTTGGTCTGATTTGCTGCTTTCAGATTAAGGACAAAAACATAGGTGCCCCGAGCAGGTTGCAAAGGCTATGGATAGAAAGATTCAACTCTTTCCAGATGTCTTCTTGCCTGAATATAAACATTGTGTTTAATATCCTATCAGTGGAGATTGTGTATAAACTGATAATGTGAACTGGACATTTTGTACAGCAACTCCACATAATGATATTGACAGTGTGCCTAAGTGGACAATGTCAGTTGGTTATCATACAGTGTACACTCACGTATACACTCAGCAGTATACACATTTTTGTATAAATAAATATGACTTGGGCACGATATACATTTTAATGTGGAAGCCATGCAAATTGACTGAGCAATGTTTTTATATTGAGTGGCAAATGGCAATATTAATCAGGTCATGTCATGAATAATCCTGCCAACATTATCCATTGGGGTACATTGTGCCTTCATAATCAGTCATATCACATTCACCCAAATCAACAACCATAATCCCTAAGAATTTTCATTAGAACTGTGTGCAATGGCAGCAGAAATAAAGCACACAGTCTGCAAAGCACCTTGCTAAAGTGGTACCTCGAGATACGAACTTAATGCGTTCCGTGACTCTGGGCGTATCCCGAGTTGGTTGTAACCCGATGC